CAGCAAGGTCCGGCTGAAAGATAGCCGGCCCGAATTACTTCAAAAATGTAACAATTAACTTTTCTTAGTTAGTGAGGTGTTTTATTTTCTTTATAACAAATAAATGAGTTTTATTAGAAACCTTCTTCGCGTTTCTTTATCAGAATAGTGCAACTTGGAATAAGCCTCGATTCATCTCCTCCTCTAAACCAGGGTAATTAGTCCCAGAGCCAAACATGGGATTAATAAATGCCCTGACAAATATCCTCTATCACTTATAGACATTGATAGATAAAACAATGCATTCAACAGATAAGACAATGCTTTTGAGACAGAGGGATTTAGTAAACTTAAGGTTTAGAGGAGTGTTTTTTAAACGTGGTAGCTTTAAAATGTTTCAATGCTGGCTTGGGAATTCTGAGAATTGAAGTCCACACATTTGAAATGTTGCCAATTTTTATTTAACTGAGTCTAGAGTCAGTGTTACATACATTAGTGGTGCTTTCATATTAAGTCCTTTATTGCACAAGTATCCTGTCCATTTGTAGAATTGGGGGGAAGGTTGCCCAGGCATATAGAAGACATAGAATCATAGACTCATAGGGCCCCCTGATCAACCCCCTGATTTATTTATTTTATTTATTTATTTGTTTAAATTTCTATACCGCCCTTCTCCAATGTAGGACTCAGGGCGGTGAACAGCCAAAGTAAAAACAAGACATACATACAAAACATACAAAATCTAAAATCTGTTTAAAATAATTAAATAATTTTGGCCGTAATTAAAACATTCCAATTTAAAATCCGTTTAAAATTTGACTCAAGCCAGCCCAGCTAGTTGAAATAAATGGGTTTTTAGGGCCCGACGAAAAATCCGGAGGTCTGTTATTGTACGTAGCTCTGGGGGGAGGTTGTTCCAGAGGGCGGGCGCCGCCACAGAGAAGGCTCTCCCCCTGGGGGTCGCCAGCCGACATTGTCTGGCGGACGGCACCCTGAGGAGGCCCACTCTGTGGGAGCGTACTGGCCGGTGGGAGGCTATTGGTGGCAGAAGGCGGTCTCGTAAGTACCCCGGCCCTAAGCCATGGAGCGCTTTAAAGGTGGTCACCAGCACCTTAAAGCGCACCCGGAAGACCACCGGGAGCCAGTGCAGCCCTGATCAGGGCAGAAGTCTTATACCATGCCAATCAAATGGTTGTCCAGTCTGTTCTTGAAAACCTAGTGATTTATTTATTTATTTATTTATTTTATTTCTATACCACCCTTCTCCCGAAGGACTCAGGGCGGTGTACAGCCTGATTAAAAGCACAAAGACAGACAAAATTTAAAAATAATGAAAATTATTAAATGATAGGCTTAATTTAAAACCCCAAATTTAAAATCCCATTTTTAAGAACCCAATTAAAATCTTTACCTTGATAGCCCAGCCTGGCGGAACAACAAGGTTTTGAGGGCACAGCGAAATACATGGAGATCAGAGATTTTACGAATTTCTGGGGAGAGTTCATTCCAAAGGGCAGAGGCTCCCACAGAGAAGGCCCTCCCCCTGGGTGTCGCCAGTCGACATAATTTGGCCGATGGCACCCTGAGGAGACCCTCTCTGTGGGAGCGGACTGGCCGGTGAGAGGCTACTGGTGGCAGAAGACGGTCTCGAAGGTATCCAGGTCCAATGCCATGGAGCGCTTTAAAGGTGGTGACCAACACCTTGAATCGCACCCGGAAGACCACTGGGAGCCAGTGCAGGTCGCGCAGGAGGGGTGTCACGTGGGCACAACGAGTTGCGCCCACTCGATGAAGGACCCACAACCCCAAGAGGCAAGCTATTCCATTGATTAACTGCTCTCACTGTCAGAAAATTTCTCCTTACTTGTAAGTTGGACAGGATGGGTAGGCTGAGGGAAATCATAGAGATAAACAACCAAGAAATGGAATTTGTTGGTAGCTAATCTCATAAAGGACACCTAAGAGCAGGTGCCCAGAAATCTGGGGGGGGGGAGAAACAATTAAAAACATTTCAAAAGATTCTGCCTCAGTGAAGTTACTAATAAACAAGGGTTGAAAATTCATTTATAGATTCACGATTCTGAGTTTGTCCCTAATAGTCCCTTATGTTCGGCTTACTAATTCAACCTGATAACACCATTGCTTGGCATTTTCTGTCCTTTGGTCTTTTCTATTTTTATTTCTTCTTATTGTTATTATTAGATTGATACCCCACCTTTTCAACAAGAGCTCATAGGGTAATATGTAGCACTCCTTCCTCTGATTATTTTTCCCGAGAAGATTGGAAAGAGAATAATTAACAAATCTACTCAATAAGCTTCTATTCTCAGTTTTAGACTCTCCACAATCCTAATACAACATCTTAACTACCATGTTTTCCCCAAAATAAGACCCTGTCTTATATTTTTTGAACCCTGAAATAAGCGCTTGATCTTATTTTCGGGGAGGTCTTATTTTTGGGGGGTGCGTGGAGCAAGACAGGGCTTCTCTTGCCATCTTACCTGATTTCCAGCTCTGTCTCTCTAACCCTAACCAGAGGAAATGGTGGGGACCGGCTGTACATGCATTTAAATATTTTCCTGGAGGTCTTATTTTCAGGGGAGGTCTTAATTTTGGGGGAGGTCTTATTTTCAGGGAAACACGGTAGTATATGACACTGCCCAAATATTAGACTCAGGAATGCTGCAAGTCAAAACATCCTTGCTGGTTGAGGTTAGAGAGAATGGCATGAATGAACTCTAAGCTCCAGCAGAAGCCTTAGGACCTTGGACAGCTCCCTGCAGGAAGTCACAGGATGTTGCTCTACCAGTATTTCACAACATTAATACAGGTAGACTTTAACTCCCAGAATTCCCCACCCAGTCCACCTGTCTTAACATTGTTAGGTTTGAGAGATGCTGCTCTACCACCTGCCTATCAACAGCTAAGGTCTTAAAGACAGATAGCAGAGCCTGGTGAACCTAACTATGCTCCAGCTGATTGATGACTGTATGTCAGTTCTTCAAGCTATATCAAACTAAGAAACCAATCCATGTAGGCCAACACTACTATACTTTCATTGCACAATTAAAATAACAGCATTTTGCAATTCTTAATGCACTTCTGTGATGGCATGTGGGAAAGATTCACTCTCTAGCTAAAAGTGCTGTATTTTCCTGCTTCAGCATCACTCACCAAAGTTCAGTGTGAGACTTTTTATTTTAAATTAAAAAAATAAGCCACGGATATGCATAATCATTGCACATAAAAAGCAATAAACATCTATACATCTAATAACTTTTTTTCCATTTAAAAGTCCTGGCTTCCGGGAATAAATCCTGGGAATTGTATCTGGGCAAAGCGGTAGTAATCTGATAGAGAGGCTGACACCCGAAGAGTAATATTTCCCAGGATTCTCCAATAAGAATGAATCACTATAAAATCAGTTTAGAGCAATCATACTGACACTAATGCAACTTTTCCTTCATTTTTACCAGTGCCATCTTCTAAACCAGGGTCAACAAACTATGGTCTTCAGACCAGGGGTGAAATCCAGCAGGTTCTGACAGGTTCTGGAGAACCGGTAGCAGAAATTTTGAGTAGTTCGGAGAACCGGCAAATACCACCTCTGGCTGGCCCCAGAGTGGGGTGGGAATGGAGATTTTGAAGTATCCTTCCCCCAGGAGTGGGGAGGTAATGGGGATTTTGCAATATCCTTCCCCTGGAGTGGGATGGGAATGGAGATTTTGCAATATCCTTCCCCCAGGAGTGGGGAGGTAATAGGGATTTTGCAATATCTTTCCCCTGGAGTGGGATGGGAATGGAGATTTTGCAGTATCCTTCCCTTAGAGTGGGGTGGGAATGGAGATTTTGCAGTATCCTTCCCCTGGAGTGGGGTGGGAATGGAGATTTTGCAGTATCCTTCCCCTGCCAATCCCACCAGGCCATGCCCACAGAACCGCTACTAAAAAAAAAAAATTGGATTTCACCACTGCTTCCAGCCAAATCTAGGCTACCACCTGGCCACAAATTAAGAATTGAGAGGCAGACAGGTGGCAGATTGCCAAATCTGAGTCTGAGCCAAACTCCTGGGGCAAAGGTAGTGGCCAAGCCATCCTGGGCAGGGGCAGTCTATCAGCATCCTCCTTGCTGGCAGGCCAGAGTCTTCCAATAGTTACCATGCTCTTTGGCCTGCAGACCTGCCAGCCACAGTGGTAGAAGAGAGGCAGGATCTGGTCCTTTATGTCTCCCAACTTGGCAGGCTTGTGGACTTGCTGGCTGGGGAATTCTGGGAGTTGAAGTCCACAAAGTCTTAAAGTTGCCAGGTTTGGAGACTCCTGCTTTACAGAATAGACTTGGTGAACCTTATTTAAACTGTAGCAATCTCAATCTTCACACACGCAAAGAACTATTATAAAGTGCAACCAGTATGCCCAACAACGTCTCCCCTAATAAGGAAACCTTATGGTACAGGTTGTCCTCAATTTATAATCAGCCATTTAAATCCATCATTTTCAAAGTTATGATGAACTCTGAAAAAGGGACTAATGAGCCGGATTCAAAGTTCCGATGTCCCATTACCACGTCTCCCACAGTCACATGACTGCATTTGGGGCCCTTGGCAACCAGCCTGCATTTGTGAACATTTGCAGCACCCATACCATTTTTGCCGAAAGCCAGCGTTTATTTCCAATTCCCGGCAAAAACCATCTCATAATAAACAATGGGTTTGCTTAATGACTGCCGTGTCCACTTAACAACCATGGTGTTTGCTCTACAGCCACAGTGTTTGTTTAGTGACCAGCACCAAAAGACTGTAAAATTGGGCATACTCACAGGGTGACCCACTTTATGACTGAAATTGCGAGCTCAAATAGTCATAAGTGAAAGACTACCTGAATAGCATCTGCTTAGACACAATACAAACAAAATCTACGGAAATTTCACACCCAACATATTGTCACCTGCATTCTCACTCTATAATCTTATTTCTTTTACCCACAAAATGCCTTAGGTAGGAGCTTACTAATCAAGATGCAAACTATATCTCCAAATACAGACATTTTTATCTTCTTTCAAAGAACATGCATATCAGTTCTGATTTGTACTAGTGATAGCAATAATTATCCAAATGCTACAATCAGTAAAGTCAGTTTACATCATTATCCTATATTATACTTGGTAATACATTTCTTCTGTTAAAAAAAATACAGAAAAGCAACAGACAAGTCTCTTTACACAGATGAATCATAAATGTTAAAAGAAAAATCAGTTTGAGAAGGACTTCCGCAACGCAATATCCATTACTGGAAATGTACATCCATATATCTGTACTTCTATTAATGGTGGAATCATCTGCAGGAAAGGAAGATTAAAATGAACATTATGTAAAATATTTAAAATGATGAATTTCACTTCCACCCCAAAACATGCTGGGTGAAATATCTAGTAACCTTGAAGGTAACTGGAACCAACTAAGGTCAACAGATTACACCGAAGAACTAGGCCCTAGTTACTAAGGGATGTTGTTTTATACCGGGGTCCCCAAACCTGGCAGTTTTAAGACTTGTGGACTGCAATTTCCAGAATTCTCCAGCCAGCTATGCTGCCAGAATTCTGGGAGTTGAAGTCCACAAGTCTTAAAGTTGCCAAGTTTGAAGACCTCTGTTTTATACTAACTTTGACATAAATTTGACATTCTATCACACCAAAGAAATAGCAAATTGGGTTTGGTCAACTGGCCAAACAAATATTTTCATATGATACTCCCTAATTTACAAACTTTGGAAAACATCAAACACTCTCAGAAACTTTCTAACTCATCTTAAGAGAGGACCCAGTTTTGATAGCAAGTCACTCACAGTTTCTGCTCACCAAACACTGTAGACTAGAAAACAGTAGTTTGTAGCTGTGTTACTGCAAAGCTACCCACAGGACTGGGTATCTCTTCAGTGTATTGTGTGAGCTCACGCAAGTTGCTTGAAGAATGCATCCTTCTGTTCATCAAAAGTGAAATGTTTTAACAAAGACAAATATATATATAACAAATCTGAGAGATATTTCATTAAATTTCTATAGCCTTTCTGGGTGTGGAAGACAGGAATTATTCTTATAAAAATAAAATTCAAGGAAATATAACACACTTGTTTTTTTTAAAAAAAGGGCAGTGAGGTGTTAATACTGGGAAGTACGATTGAGAGGCACAAGGATGAGATATATGTCTCTTCTTCCTTCCAAAAGAACGAAAGATTAAGGAGGAAAGATTTTGAGAATGAAGCTTTTTCCTTGCTGATCTTTAGGGGAAAAAAATGCTAAAGATTGGATGGAAGGGTTGCAGTTTAGGATTTCCTGGGTGGAATCTCAAAGTGGGAAGCTGGAAAAACCATCTTTCAAGAAGGCAATTCCATATTCTTCCCAAGGCCATGCCCGTGAGGTCAGCTGGGGCTAAAGTCCAAAGATTCTTCTACAGAGAATGGTGCTTTTTCAGGAGGTAACTGGACTTTCTTGTTTTTTCTTTGAAGACATTTCACTTCTCATCCAAGAAACTGCTTCAGCTCTGTGTTGTGGTCCGCCAGCAGCCTGCGGAGCTGGCAGCAGAGTCGGACAGTGAGGAGGCTGGGGAGGATCATGGGCCAGTCCTGAAGTCTGGGGAAGGCTCGGACGAGGGGTCTGTGTCGGAGGCAGAGAAAGGGCCATCTGGGAGGTACGTGCTGTGTCTGGAGCCTCCAGAGTCGGAACTCAGCGAGGTAGAGGAACAGGGGGAGCCTGTTCCCAGTGCGCACATGCGCAGAGCTGCCAGAAGTTAAGAACAGTTAAAACAAAAGGGACAACTCAGGAGTAGGGCTTGGAGATGATTGTCCCCTTCCATAAGACTTAAAAGAGGAGCAAAGCCATGTGGGCCTTTGCAGGAAGCAACGTTAATTCTGTGCAGTTTAAAGTCTGAAGCTCTGTTTGATTCTGGACTCCATGTGGCTTTGCCAATTAGGTCTTTGGCAGCGTGTCAAGGGAGATAAAGGTGGGTGACTATCAGCCTTATCCCAAAGGACTCTTTACAATTCACAGTTGTTAAAATAAAACAGGTTTTTGGAACTACTCGTGTGTTTTACTGACTCAGGAAGCCTAGGTCAGAACACTCTGACTGGATGGTGGGGAATGGAAGAATTTATATCCCTTGCAGACAGCTGGTCAATTGCATTCTTTTAGGAAGTCGTTGAGGCCACTTGGAGGCTTATCTGTGTCCTCAAGGTCACCTGAGTGGTGCAAATGGTTCCTTCCATTCCCTACCATCCAGTCAGTGGAAGAAGCTTCTTGGATAAGAAGTGAAACATCTTCAAAAAAAAAAAAAAAACCAAGAAAGTCCAGTTGCCTCCTGAAAAGGCACCTTTGGGACAACCATGACCTGGATGACTGAGAATCTCCACAGATGGTCCTTGACTTAAAACCTGTTGCTTAGTGACCATTCAAAGTTATGATGAACACCCCCAAAGGTACAACTTGGTTCCAACTTGGTGCATGTCAGACACTTGGTAGATGCTTACATTTACAGCTGTTTGCACATCCTGCAGTACAATCACATGACTGTGATTTGTGTTTTTGCAGAAAAGTGGCATTTACTTCTGATTTTGGACAAAAATGGCCCATGGTGAATAATGGGTTCACTTAACCACCACAGCATTTGCTTAATGACCACCAAAAAAGGTCATAAAATTAGGTCAATCACATGGGTGACCTGCTTTACAACTGCCATGATTTACGAAAATTGTAAATTGAGAAGTACCTGTATTATTACTGTTATGCAAAAAATTATGGGCTTCCAAAGATTTCTGGAAGTTAACATGTAACCGTGTTACTTTGAAAGTTACAGTATTCCATACTGCTTTTGTTTTTCTTTTAAATTTAAAGAAACATGCATGCAGTTATGTATAAAATCGTATTTGGTCTCCAAGGCGAATACACTCTTGGAAAGGTTTTGGTTTATTTGGAAGTAAAGTGAAACATGCTTCTGATTTTAATTTAAAGAGGACATTGTCCAAAACATAGGAAACAAGATCCTCTTTCTTCAATCAACTCGGGCACAGATTTGCATGTTGACATCCAACCTTATAAAGTGGTTCAACCAGTGGTGAAATGTAAAATTTGTTAATACCGGTTCTGTGGGCGTGGCTTGGTGGTGAGGGTAATGTGACTGGGTGGATATGGCATTTTTAAAAGCATTATTTTATAGAAAAATGCTTTTAAAAGCCTCTGACAATTAGGCAATTCAGCTGGGATGGTCAGAGGCTTTTAAAACCATTTTTTTTTCTACAACTTCTTCAGCCGAAGAGATTGTAGAAAAAATGCTTTTAAAAGGCTCTGACGATCCCAGCTGAGCCGCGTGGTCATCAGAGGCTTTTTTTTTACTTTTAAAAGCATTTTTTCGGCCGAAGAGGTTGTATTAAAAATGCTTTTAAAAGTAAAAAAAAAGCCTCTGATGATCGTGCAGCTCAGCTGGGCATGGGGGGGTGTCACAGGGATTTTTGCTACCGGTTCTCCGAACCACCCATCGCCATCACTACCAGATTGGGCAATCTGGTCCGAACCGGGAGCATTTCACCCCTGGATTCAACATACATCAAGGATCAGCTGAAGATCAGGAGATACAATTCAGATTGTGGGCTAGTTACATTCTGGGTATATGTTGATTGATTCACAAAATCAGCTTCAAATTCAGCACCATTCCATTCTGATAAGTCGATGAGGGCCAAGGAAAGAACCAGATGTAGATTAACCAAATATAAGGCTGGGGAGAAGAAGAATCCTGTCTATTCTAAAGCCTTCCAGATCTTTGGTTTCAAGATTCTTGTTTTGCATACTGATAGGTTTGAACTTTAAGGGCTGAAAAAGTTGTAAGCACCTGGAAGCAGGAAGTGGGCGTGATAGAAAGCTTGGAAGGCAAACCAACTGAAAACCCTTGTTCCTGGCAAGAAGGATGGAGTCTAGCTAAGAAGCTAACAAGGATGATAAATAAGGCAAAGTGTATGGAAATGGCCAGGACGGTTAGGAACAGAAATTTGGCAATTTGGGGTGGTTATCAAATTAGAGAACTACCTTGTGTATCATAAGGATGTCATGACATGCAAGTTGTACCATGGCTTTGAAGCATCCAACATTCTATCCAGGTAGTAGCACAAGACTTGATAACTGACTCACAAAGTTCCCATTTCAAGCTTCTTTCCATCTCAGATGCTTAGCAGGTATTTTATAAGCCTACATGCCCACAATTTTTCAGTTTTTCTCCATGACCCATAGGATCTACTCATCATCATACCATCTGCATTTCTTATTTTCGTTTCACTGGAAGTTGTATTTATAATACATTCATCCCCAGAAGTGATGCATCTTGGAAAATAATCTCGGGGGGGGGGAAGTATGTGTCCACATAAATAATGTGTCTTGGAGTGTCTATGATTAACTTGCCGATAATTTTCTGATGTCTTCTAGGAGGAACAATCAAACACGAGAAAAGTCCACTGGGCCAAATTGCAAACAAGCGATGATCCTGATGACCCTTATTTGGGAGGCCAAGCTAAGAAATGAAGAGATGGAGGGTGGGCTGTTTTTTATAATTCAAAACCCTAAGTTGGGTTTTCGGTGTGCACCATGCCTTGCTTGACCTGTTGAATAAGTTCTTTGCGATTGTCCAGGATAGTGTCAAAGCTCTCCTGCAGTCGATTTTGCTGGTCAGCAACGTTCTGCTGGAGGCTGCGAATCCAGCGTAGCAAGGCCAGGCGGCGATACATCACTAAGTGGCTGTGATATTTCTGTTTCTCCAACTCTTTGAACTTCTTCATCTCCTGCATGTTCCTGAAAGCTTCTGCCAGTGCTGGGGAGACGGTCTCAGAACTAGAGGAAGAGCTGTCAAAATCATCATTGGAGGCTTGCTGCGTAGCGTTACATGTCCCGTCTTCATCGGTGACAGAAGGTATCTTCCAAACTTTGGTGCCATCACTTTCAGGGTTATCAACCCAACGACTGCTGGAATAATCATTATCTTCTCGAGGGGAACTGGCCAGTTTCCCTCTTACTTTTACCTTCACCTGGTAGTTGGTCTCTTGTTCTGGACTCCTGACCTCAGCACCTTCAGGTGGTCTGCGGATGTCCTCCTCTTCTCTGTCCTTCTCCTCCTCTAAGCCCAGGAAGTTATCATCAGACTTTAGGTTCTGAGAAATGCCTCTAGAGCGATTCTTTGCTTTCTGTCGGGGTATTAGATCAGTCAGATTCTCAGATACCTTCTTTATCCCATTGTCATTCCATTGTTCCCACTCCTCTGGTATCGGCACCTTTGATATGGGTTGGCTCCAGTTTTCGTTGCTATCAGAGGACTTCTCATCCATGAAGTTGAGGTTCTTGTCTGGATGGGAGTCCTTTTTGTTATGGTAGATCACATCCTGCTGTGAATTTCCCTGGGCTTCACCGAGCTGTGGATGGAGGGGGAATTCCGGTTGGCACATGGCAAACATCGATGCCCCCACCCAACTGGGAAAAAGAAACCAGCAGAGAAAGAAATGTAGATGTAAGGACATGACCAATATGCAGAAAAATTCCAACACTCCTAGGTGTCATCCTGAAATTCATGCTTTGGATCCCAGGCCAATCTCAGCATTTAGAGCTCTCTAAAAGCCTGGATCATCAAATTAAAAAAAACCTGTGATCAGTAACTATGTGATCAGAGCTGACTAAGCTTCTTCTGAATAGAATTTAGTTTTCCAGGACTTAAGGAAAGTTTCCTTTGCTCCTATAATGAGCTTCTGGTTATCTAAATCCTGATTTATTTCATTAACTCAATGGCGCAGGTTCATGCAACACTGAACTAGCAATTGACCAGCCAAGTTGAGTTCACACAGCATACAGTATTGACCCACAAATTAACCAGATTTTGGTCCAGTGAGTTGTGTGAGGCCAACCCTATTGCTTCTTTTGCTGGGGAGGCGGGGAGGAGAAGATAACTTCATGCTAGCTCCCAAGTAATTCACAAACTGATCATATTTCCATCTTTCTAAGCATGGGCATAACCATGTTGCATAACCTTTTTCTGGCTTAAAGCCACAATAGTCCTCTGAATGCATGCTGGGGTGAAAGGACCCTATCACTCTAAGTTGGACCTGGATGATTAGTTTAGCTGATCTAATTTAAGTTTTACTAAAATAAACGAATATAACACAGTCATCAAAATGAACACAGGACATAGGACAATAAGGCTTGAAGAAAACATCCTTGCTCAAGCTGGAGATCCTATACCTGTGATGGGGAACCTATGGCACGTGTGCCACAGGTGGCATGCGGAGCCATATCTGTGGGCATGTGAGTGTTGCCCTAGCTCAGCTCCAGCGCACATACACGTGCCAGCCAATTGATTTTCGGGCCTTCCAGGCCCACCGGAAGTCAGGAAATGGGCCGTTTCCAGCCTCTGGAGGGCCTCTGGGGGTGGTGGGGAAGGCCTAGAAAGTCTCTGGAGCCTGGGGAGGGTGAAAAATGGGCCTACCGGGCCATCACGTGCCAAAAGCAAGGGGAGCGTGGGGGGTCACGCATGCATGCATGGGGGGCAGGGGGCATTGAATTATGGGTGTGGGCATGCGCGACAGACACACCCCGCTCCCCCCACTTTTGACATATGACGGCAAAAAGGTTAGCCATCACTCTCCTATACTATTCTGGACAAATGGCTGTCCAGTCTCTTCTTAAAAACCTTCAATGAAAGCCCCCAATAAACAAAAATATTTGTAGTTCAGGGTTGAAATGAGGGGTCCTTTGTTGCCCTCCGAACTTGGTTGTTTTCTTGCAGGTGCTTCATTACTCAAATTAGGTAACATTATCAGTGCTAGTCACTAGCACTTACGGTGTTACCTAGTTTGGGTAATGAATCACGTGCAACCAAGAAAACGACCAAACTCTGATGGAGCAGCCACCATGGCTTTCCATATATTTAAACATTCTGTCCCCCCTTTTTCCTCCCATAATGGTTACCTTGGCACTACACAGGCTTAACCTTGTTGCCAAAATAATCTTGATACGAGTGATAAACTAACCAAACAAATTGTTTGCACAAAAAGAGGCCACGCCAACTCCCTCTCCTCACCCAAATTAACCTGAACAGGTTTCACAAGTTGTGCAAAAGGCCGCTGTTATTATAGGCCTTTCACACTTTTGTATATTGTGTACACAAACATCAGAAGGCCCACAATGTGGCAAGCACACAGCTCACAGGAGCTCAGCCACCCTTTGAGCTGCAGGTGGTTAGTTCAGCTGTAGGTCAAATGAAGGCAGATCTGGACCAGACAGGTGGAATATAATAACTTAGCCGAAAGGGAAGATTTTTTCATCCTCCCCACCCCCCAAAAACCCACCCAAAGCAGGTGAAAGAAAAGGGCAAAAAACCATCCCGATTTCCATACAATCCTAAAAGATACCGAGATGGAACAAGGTGTGTGTGTGTGTGGGGGGGGGTTTCCAGAATCTTGACTCAGCATTGCTATAACGTATGTGGGCTCTCCTCCCCCTCCCTGCATTTTCCAAGCAAGCTCTAGAAAACATTCCTTAAGCCTCCCCTGTCGGGGAGGAGGTGGGAGAAGGCTGGACCTGATTGTCGGTTTAGGGCACGTGATTTGGGAGTAGTGGCAGGGAGTGTGGGGAGGATGCAGCGCCAATGGTCTTGCAGGCAAACTGCAGGCAGTTTGCGCCAAGGAAGGAAGGAAGGGGAAGGAAGGAAGGAAGGAAAGAAAGAAGGAAGGGAAGGAAGGAAGGGAAGGAAGGAAGGGGAAGGAAGGAAGGGGAAGGAAGGAAGGAAGGAAGGAAGGAAGGAAGGAAGGAAGGAAGGAAGGAAGGAAGGAAGGAAAGAAAGAAAGAAGGAAAGGAAGGAAGGAAGGGGAAGGAAGGAAGGAAGGAAGGAAAGAAAGAAGGAAGGGAAGGAAGGAAGGAAGGAAGGAAGGAAGAAAGAAAGAAGGAAGGGAAGGAGGGAAGGAAGGAAGGAAGGGGGGAAGGAAGGAAAGAAAGAAGGAAGGGAAGGAAGGAAGGAAGGAAGGGGAAGGAAAGAAGGAAGAAAGAAAAAAGGGGAAGGAAGGGGAAGAAAGGAAGGGGAAGGAAGGGGAGGATGGAAGGAAGGAAAGAAGGGGAAGGAAGGAAGGGGAGGGGGGAAGGAAGGAAGGGGAAGGAAGGGGGGGAGGGAGGGAGGAAGGAAGGAAGAGCCTGGTGGCGCAGCAGACTAATAGCCTGTTATTATCATTCAGCTGCCTGCAATTTCTGCAGGTTCAAATCCCACCAGGCTCAAGGTTGACTCAGCCTTCCATCCTTTCAAAGGTAGGTAAAATGAGGACCCAGTTTGTGGGGGCAATAAGCTGACTTTGTATAAATATACAAACGTATGAAGGCTATTGCTTAACGCATTGTAAGCCGCCCTGAGTCTCCGGAGAAGGGCGGCATATAAATCAAATTTAAAAAAAAAAAGAAGGAGAAGGAAGGAAGGGAGGAAGGAGAAGGGAGGAAGGAAGGAAGGAAGGAGAGGAAGGAAGGAAGGAACCCGGCAGCCGCTTTAGGTCGGGAGTCCAGCTAAAAAGATTATTCTACGTCCCCGTTCAAACTGCCGCTTGAGCCCCGCACCCCTACCCGTAATCTCTCTCTCCCCGTCCCCTCCCCGGAAGCCCCGGCCGCGGGCTTGGCACTCACCGCTGGAGCCTCGCAGGAATCTAGCCGGGCGGGGCGGCCGGGCGGGGTGTGTGTGGTGGAGGGGGGGGGACTGGCAGGATTTGGGCTTCTGCGGAGGGGGCGGCAATGGCACAGATGGGGACCGTTGCAAAGAAGCCGCGCCCGCTTCCTGCAGGTGCCCAGGCGGCGGCGGCGGCGATTGCCGAGCGGGAAGGCGAGGAGAGAGAACAGGTGACCCCGGGAAGCCGATGCGGACGAACGGGCTCCTCCCTCCTTCACGAGCACACACGCACATCCCGAGTCCCCGCGGAAGGATTCCCAGCGGCTGGCCCGCTCACATGACCCGCGCGTGAGGCGGAGTGGACAAGAGGCGAGGAGGCCGGGGGTGGTGACGTTCGCGGCGGGAGTCACGATGAGGAACATCTGGAGGAGGACTCGGCCCGGGAAGTCCGTGGACTCCTGAGCCTTTCTGAACACGGGTGGAGCTGCGGGACAGCCGTGGTTCCCTGCTTTGTCAAGCTTGGTGGTATCCATTAAGGTTTTGAGAATAGAATGGACTGGACTAGGACTAGGACTAGGACTAGACTAGACTAGACTAAACATGAGAATAGAATGGAATAAAGAATGGACTGGACTAGACTGGACTAGACTGGACTGGACTGGACTGGACTGGACTAGACTAGACTAGACTAGAATTATGGAATGGAATAGAGAGTGGAGTGGAGTGGAGTGGAGTGGAGTGGAGTGGAGTGGAGTGGAGTGGAGTGGAGTAGAGTAGAGTAGAGTAGAGTAGAGTAGAGTAGAGTAGAGTAGAATAGAATAGAATAGAATAGAATAGAATAGAATAGAATAGAATAGAATAGAATAGAATAATAGAATTCTTTATTGGCCAAGTGTGATTGGACACACAAGGAATTTATCTTGGTGCATACGCTCTCAATGTACATAAAAGAAAAAATACATTCGTCAAGAACCATAAGGCACAACACTTGATGATAGTCATAGGGAACATAGTCGTAGGGATCAAACCCACCTAACCCCCCCCCCCTTCAGCCAAGCCCCAAAGATTCATGTAGGATTGAGTGTGTTCTGAAAACTCAGTTCAGTTGATTGAATAAACTCTGTTGAAGCTAATCATAGGTATGAGTTGTACAGAGGTGGAGAATGCAAGGAAATCCAAGCATGGCTGGCTGGCATGGGAGTTGAAGTCCACTAGGTTTAAAGTTGCCAAGGTTAGACACCCCTGCTCTAAATCGTCCCAAAGATGCTTTTTTTTCTTTTCAAGAGGCAACTGGACTTTCTGGTAGTCCAGTTCTGGTAGCACCAGAAAGTCCACTTTCCTCTTGGGGGGAAAAACTACCTTTGGGACAACCACGACCTGGATGACTGAGACTCTCCATAGACCCTGCTCTAAAAGTTGAATATTTAGCCTGTTTAGTAGGAGATTACCCTTGGTGATTAAATGCCACGCATGGGGAAGAGGAGGATATGTATCACGTGTCATCACACAACAATGTCATCACATCTGTAGCGTGTACCAGAGATCTATGCTGCCTTGGTCCATATCTGAAAAGCCATCAGTGCAAAAAAATAAATAAATCACATCATAGTTGTGCTGTTGCAACATATTAATCCATGGTTAAGCAGGCCATTGTTTTTGTGGGTTTGGCCATTCGACAGAACTATCAGTTAACTACCCAAACTGGGTTCTCATTATATGTTAAATCCGTGATGGCAAACCTATGGCACGCGTGCCAGAGGTGGCACGCAGAACCCTCTCTGTGGGTACGTGTGCCATCACCAGCTGCTTTTTTGGTTACTGGCCAGCTGGTCTTTGCGGGCACTGGAGAGCCGGAAAATGGCCTGAAAACAGCCAAAAAACCGGACCATTTTCTGGGCTGTTTTCAGACTGTTTTTGGGCTGTTTTTTGACCCAAATGGCCCGGAAAACAGCCTGAAAATGGCCCGCAAAACAGCCCATTTTTCAGGCCGTTTCAGGCTGGTTTTAGGCCATTTTCCAGGCCTTTTGGGTCCGTTTTCTGGCCCAAATAAACAGCCTGAAAATGGCCTGAAAAACAGCCACAAACCAGGCATGCGTGCCAGCCAGCTGGTTTTCAGGTTTCCAGTGCCCCAGCACGCACGACGACCAGCTGGCCAGCGCGCACAGCTGGTCTTTGGGTTTCCGGTGCTCTTGCGCACGCACATGCACACACACGCATGCACGTTCTGGTTTGGGCACTCCGTGTCGTAAAGGTTCACCATCATTGTACTAAACTATTTAAGCTACTGTGAGTCAATTTATTATATGAATCCAACTAGTAGTTCAAAACAGTGGCTATCCATTCCTTCCAAGGTTGTTGGATTACATTAAATCATAACCATGTGTTGCTAAACCAAAAGCCTGGGTTCATGCAACAAACCATAAACCACAGTTTATAAAGCAGAAACTGAATTTCTTCATATGGTGTATCCAAGGATTCTGATTTAGCATCTTATATGAATCTATCCAAATATAACAACAGCATTTGCAGTTTGATGTAGTGTATTAATGTGCTGGCCTAGAAACCAGGAGACAGTGAGTTCTAGTCCCGCCTTAGGCACGAAAGACATCTCGGTGACTTTGGGCCAATCACCAGGAGACTAAGTTCTAGTCCTGCCTTGGGCATGAAGCTGGCTGGGGGACTTTGTGCCAATCACCAGTGATAAGTGCTCCATGTCTTAGGGCCGGGGTACTTACGGGACCGCCTTCTGCCACCAATTGCCTCCCACCGGCCAGTTCGCTCCCACAGAGAGGGCCTCCTCAGGGTGCCGTCAGCCAGACAATGTCGGCTGGCGACCCCCAGGGGGAGAGCCTTCTCTGTGGTGGCACCTACCCTCTGGAACGATCTACCCCCAGAGACACGAGTGATCCCAGACCTCCGGACTTTTCGTCGGGCCCTTAAAACCTATTTTTTTTCAGTTAGCCGGGCTGTCCTGATTTTATGGTTGGTTTTAAAATTTGATATTGATTTTAATTGAAATGTTTTAAATTATGGGCCAAACTTTATTTAATTATTTTAAATCTATTTTAACTTTTGTGTACGAATGTTTTATTTTGGCTGTTCACCGCCCTGAGTCTGAAAGGAGAAGGGTGGTATAGAAATCTGAAAATAAATAAATAAATAAAAATAGTGAGTTCTAGTTCTGCCTTAGGCATGAAAGCTGGCTGGGTGACTTTAGGCCAGTCACTCTCTCTCAGCCCAACCCACTTACAGGATTGTTGTGGGGAAAATAGGAGGAGGGAGGAGTATTGGGTATGTTTCAGGAGCGGGTTTCAAAACCCGTTGCTACCGGTTCGCTCGTGTGTACGCATGACGCTTCTGCGCATGTGCAGAAGCATCTGGGCGGGTGGGCAGAGCCTCCCACCACCGCTGCTACTGGTTCGCCTGATCCGGGGTAAACCGGTAGCAACCCACCACTGGTATGTTTGCCACCTTAAGGCAGCCTGGCTTAGCATGTGTAAACTCTGCTTAGAACTCATGCTCAGCTGTGTGCTGTGACCTAGGCCCAAGTAGTTATTACCATACACAATCAGTCCTAAACAAACATATTTTATTAGAACAGCTGAGAATTACTTCATTCCCAGCTTAGTCCAAATTAAATCCAAAACAAATTATTCATAAACAGTCTTTCAGCCTTATCACCAACCTTTGTCTTCTTTGGCACCCTGCCAAAGGCTTTTCTTGGCAAAACCCCACCAGATGCCGACAAGAAACAAATGTAGCAACGTTGCTTTCCTACAAAGATCCCAAGAGCCGTTGCTGCTCTTTTAAGCCTTCTGTGACGGGCCAATCTCCTGGCCTTACTCCCAAGTCGTCCTTTTTGCTTTAGCTGCTCTTGCCTTCTGGCAGCTCTTCGCATGCGTGCACTAGGAACAGGCTCCTCCTGTTCCTCTGCCTCTCTGCTGTCAGCCTCTGGAGGCTCAGGAGTCCGCACATCACTCCCAAATGGCCCTGGCCCCATCTCTTACCTCTGATGCAGAGTCCTCGTCCGGGCCTTCCCCTGACTCCAGGACTGGCCCATTGTCCTCCCCAGCCTCCTCACTGTCCAACTCTGCTGCCAGCTCCGCAGGCTGCTGGCGGACCACAACACTGTACGTTCAACCATGGGTTAGCAAGTAAGCTACAAGGGAATCCTCCTCAAAACTACCTAGTCTGAACCTTGGCAAACCAGCCTGGAGTTTAGCTGCAATGCAACGGCCTACCCCCTGACGTGGCCTTGCCCTTGTGTCTTGGGCCTGCCCTCATCCCTCTTCAAAGCTTGCTTCACTGGTTAAACCTTGGTTATTTCCTCCTTCCTGACAGAAAAGGGTTAGAGCAACAGGCCTTTATGATGCTACAGCATCACCCCAGCAAAGTCTTTAGGCCTCTGCTGGGAACAATTTTGTTCAAAGGCTGGGCCAGGTCGGTGGATGGAAAACAACAGCAGATGAAAAGCAGGTGGCTCTTAACGGTTTGTAAGAACCTGGGATCAGGCCTCAAGCGCCCAGCACCCCAAAATATCCAGATGTTTGGGATTTCTGCTGGAACTCCATCTCAGTTAAGATGGCCCTACTGCGTCAAAACTGCAACAAATCAAAGACTATTCTGAGGAAGTAGATTCCTAGAGTAGGATATTAAAGCAAAATATGATTGTCTTGCAGTAGCTTTGCAGTCTTCCAATTGGATTCCAGGCTCGGCCTGTCCCAACCAGATGTGTTATAATTCCAGCAATTGTGATTTTCATTTGGTTTTCCTTGCCTGCAATCTTCAGTGGCACTTGAGCTATCTTGTCTGGCAACTCCATGTTTAGAGCCATCTTCAGAGCAGTGTTCCATGCTCAGAGCCATGGTGGCGCAGTAATTGGAATGCAGTATTGCAGGTTAACTCTGCCCGCTGTCAAAAGTTTGATTCTGACCAGCTCAAGGTTGACTCAGCCTTCCAAGGTCAGTAAAATGAGAACCCAGATCAGTGGTGAAATGTAAATTTTGTTACTACCGGTTCTGTGGGCGTGGCTTGGGGGTGTAATATGACTGAGTGGGCGTGGCCAACTTTTTTTTTTTTTTTAACTTTTAAAACCATTTTTCTACAACACTTTGGCTGAAGAGGTTGTTTAAAAAATGCTTTTAAAGCCTCTGACGATCCCGGCTGACTTGTCTGATCGGCAAAGGCTTTTTTTTTTACTTTTAAAAGCATTTTTTCTATAACCTGTTCGGCCGAAGAGGTTGTAGAAAAAATGCTTTTAAAAATTAAAAAAAAGCCTCTGATGATTGTGTGGCTCAGCTGGGCAATTGGGG